TCCGACACGCTGCTTGTGATCGACCACCTTAAAGTTGCGCTTATTATACAGTAGCTTGACAATTTCTCTTTAATTATGAAGTGTATAAGAAGCCCAGATCAAGGAACCCATACCTTAATGCGAACGAAGTAGAGAGTGTCAGCGTCTAGGCCGGTCAGCTTCTTCAGATAAGATCGCTTCACTGCATCGTGATGGGTGATTCCGCCGATTTCTTGCCAGACCGGGGTGTCGGAGTTTCTGAATTGACCCATTCGAAGAAGATAGTTTGACCAAAAGGAAAGCCTTTGCCAAAATTCCACTCACCTTATCTCAATATATATCCTTTAACTCGGTTCTGAACATCCATCACTCCTGACCATTGAACGTCGAGAGCAGAAGCGCCATCTGGAGTCACCTGAAGAGGAGCGTCGTCAATCAGGGTCTTGGAGAAAGACTATGACCTTTTAACGAACCGTTGGAGCGGTGACGACGATCGGAATCGCGAACGGATCGGTCGAGTAACGGGTCCAAATCTCCCTACCAAACCTCTCTTCGAACCGGCCGCTATCGAGACGTTGTAGGACGTTTCGGGTTTCAGGCCATCGAAGAGATAAGTCAGCGTGGGATGATCGACAAGGAACGACTTTCGCTGAAATCATCAATAAATGGCTTCCTCAGCATGGCAAAGAAAGCTCAACTTACTCCTTCGTTAGGATCATCAAGGGAGGCGATGGAGACCTTGTACTGGGTAATGTGGCCCTTAGGGTCAATTGGTGGCACCCATTTGATGTGGAGTGAGTGATCCGTCTTTTCGATCAGATGAATCGCCCGTGGGGTGTCTGGGAGAATTTGGAGTGTGTTGGCAATCACCAACGACGACCATGGTCCATAGCTTCCTAAAGAAAATACCGATAGGGTGGAGCTCTGAAGCTATGGACGGTTACCGTACCTCCTTCGATTCGAGTAGCAACCTGCACTTTGTACTGGTTACCAGGTTCGAGCCCGGTCACATTGTAGCAGAAGCTGAAAGTAAAAAATGAGTTTAGGGGCGTAAGATAGGGATAAAAGCAGCTCACCGAGGGCTTTCCGAGGGGCACTGAAGTTCCTCATCGTGCACTCCATGCTGTTTCTCTTCCCATCTGTCCGTACCCAAAAGTTGATAACGGATTTTGTAGGCATCATGTGGACCATAAGGTGGATAAGGAGGCAGCCATGAGACCTAAAATTTCTTTGAAGACAACTTTTTGGAGTGGGTAAAGAAGGACTACTTACCATGAAGAAGTCGGTGCCTTCCTGAGCGACAACAAGATCCTGTGGTGGAAGCGGCGCGCTAGCTTTTGCGCTCTTAATCGAGATATGCCGTTTTGGACCTGAACAGGATCGATGAGACATACCAGAGGTAGTAGAGGAGCCCTCGCTTTACTGATCCCACCGTGATGTTGTTAGGCCTCACACGCCATCACGTATTTAGTGAACTGGTGTCAACCGTCAACGGTTATTCCGTCTCGGAGGTGTTGGCAATTTGACGCTCCAATTTCGCCCAATCGTCTGAAAGGCCTAGGAATTTTCGTCCATGAAATATTTTAACTTAGGAGAGAAACCACCCTTCCTGGCCAAGTATTCGTATTCATATTGACAATATTCGTGCGCTGCGAGCAGTCTACACGGCTACACTGGAAGGGAGAGAGGATCGCTGAGGGCATAGCGTCAGCCAGAGGTTAGTGGTGGTGATGAGGCGCTGCTGTTCCGGCGAACTTCTTTCGTCTCCTCGGACCAACTCGGTTGTTCGCGCTCTACCCAGAACCTGAATCAGCGTTATCGGTTTTTTGGCCTCAAAATGGCGCCCAAAATAGGGTTCTATGGAGTCGGTACCATATATAGATAGTACATACGAGTCCTGTGATCGGATAGTCAAGTCTATTGGGTGTAGACGGTGCACACAAATCGGGACACATCCGTGGACCTTCCTCTTCAGGGGACAAGAAGATCGATGTTTCAGTCTAAATTTTTGGAATACTTAGGCTGCCAGGGTCAAACCGGAGATAAAACCTGTAGCTGATGTCGTACGACGATAAATGCCTCTCCTGACGAGGGGTGCCAGCCATTGAACGTGGACTTCATGTTTGGACAGCAAGCTTGACTGAGGTCAGCACGGCTCCGGGCGCTCCCTGAACGTGTTTTGCAGTCTGTTCAGCTGACAGCGACTGGAATGATGTCTCTATAGAGAGTCAATCTTCGAAAAAGCGAATTCTCACCTGGATCCCACTTGATTGTAGCGCGAAGTTTGATCTACCCAACGTTGATTGGGTTCAGTGGGAGGTACTCGGTCTGAGCTCCTGGTACGGGCAGCACTGCAAGGGATAGCAGTTGAAAGGAATAGGCTTGGACCTTGAGAGAAACAACCTTCTCAGGTTCGTTCAACGCGATAGTCTGATCTCGACATTTCATCTGGGCTACATCAGGTATCCTTAGCTGGACGAGCCCACTGAGACACGCGAATCATTGTCGAGGGGACATCCCTCGAATTCCATGCAATAAGAATCTCGAGGGCCGCCTTGAGAGGGTGCGACAATTATGGGAAATCCCTGGGGTGGATTTGGAGGGGACGCTTGGTACGGGCTGCGACTACCGGTGACGGATTCGACTGCACGTTCTGCATTGAGACGACGGTCGAACACAAGGCGATGACGTTTTTGGTTAAGACAAAATTGTCAACGGTAGCCGTGTATGTGGGTGCTGCGCCGGGTGTGCAGGAAGCGACGAGGATGCTGCTGACAGGCCCTTCATTCGAGCCTGCCAGAAGCGAGATAACAAATGCTTGTAAATTCAGAAATGCTCTCTTGGGTCAAAGTACTTATACTCGACGATGAATGCACCAAGCTTCACGATTTCTGCTGTCCATTGATGGTCACGAAGCCCTCTTCGATCAATCGTGGAGCTACTGCATGCGCTAGTTAGCGGCAGCATCCGTCCACATAGTCACTGGGTACCTGGAAACAAATGAGTACATACAATCTTGGAGGTGAATAGCTAGAAGAGGGCGCCTCTGAACTTACCCACAGAAGTTCCTTGTGTGGGCTGCCTGTACCGATTAACATTGTATGGGTGCGAGACGGAGGTTGTCGATTCTAAATACCATAATTTCTTGAATAGATCACCAGAATGTAACGAAATAAAACTATAGACAAAATTTTCAACCCTAAGTTATTTAATTTTAGTCAAAAACAATGAGGTTATTTAAAATAATGAAAGATATGATTTCTGCTTTACTGTAGCATTTCTTCCTCAAAAAGCCTTAATGCAGGATGTAATAGCGTTCAGAGAGCGCGGAAGCGTTGCTATGGGTCATGCTGTGATTGGTGCGTTCACGAATCATCTTCCAGTTTTCACCCAACAGTATTAGTCGGTCTCGAACGCCGCCTCTCAGTCATCCGGGCGCTACGAGAAATCCTCACTAAATATAGTCATCAGTCGCTTGGAGACGCAATTTTTCCTGGAGACATTTAGACAAATCATGAGATAGCAAAGTGGCAGTGCTTCCCCCCTTCCTTCTAGGCAAAAAAATCTATTCGAATCTGTACAAAAAAACGTCCGGTACTGGTAGGTGTTACGATCAACATGAAGGTCTGCCGCTCGAGAGGATCCGTCCACGGGGGGGCGGCGGGGGGGGGGGGGAGGCGGGGGGGCGGGGCCCCGGGCGGCGTCGATATGAAGCCGGAATGACGTCACTCGATTGCGATCACCAGGACTTACTGTCACGAGACCGTCAATGAGCTTTCAGTCTCCAATCTGGGACAGTGTACAGTTATTGCTAAACATTCGATGAAAATGCCCTTGAGGAAGAAGGCATTGATCCACAACCAGTTATCCCTACTCCTCTAGGATCAGCGGGAAGCACAAAGTGGGCAAATTTCAGAGGGCACGTTACCGAGGGGTTCTATGCAACCTACCTTCTTAGCACTCTGAGTCGTAGCCTTTGTAATCAATTAACACCGTCAAAGCCCGAATCCGACAAGACTGGAATGCGGTGGGGGGGGTAACCTGCATGAGCTGTTGGAGATTCTTTTAGATTTCGCAGTAACCCAGTTTCCCGAAATTCTCCAAATGTGTGCGCAGCTTCCACTCGAGATGACCCGTTTCAATCACAAATTTAATGTGACAAAACACTTAATTGCCAAATACATAACCCTGCCAAGACATACCTGTCGATGTGAGAATCTGTACGCTCGCGGTGACTTGGCGTTCTTCGGCGGGCGACATGGTGACATCGCGATCAGTGGACGTGGCAGCCACCTGAACAGTTCAGTATTGCTTACTCTTTCCCTATTGCTCTGTTGAATGAGACCATTCGTATCACTTTCTACCTAAATTCGCAGGTCTGTTCGCGTGCAATGTGTCGCATGGATCGCAGTGATTTTGGTCCTGGCGGAGGCGTTGGCAACTGCTGATCTCCAGAATCTCGTTGGCATGACTGACAGTGGAATTGCGTTCCTGAAGGTCGTAATGAGAGTTATTAGGTCAGATGCAGAGATCGTTTCCTACCTGGTATTTTTGCGTACAGCCGGCGAATACGGCCCACTTGGACTTCGTTCACGTAACCGCTCTGTGTGTGTGGAGATGCAGCCACATGGGCGTTGTTCGCTCCGTGTTGTATTTCACGAATGGGGGCCTTAATGGTAAATAAGAGAGCTGAGAGAGCATTTCAAGAAATCCCTTACATAAACAGTCTGAGTATTTCAGCAGTCTGGAAAGCACATCTGTGGACATGGGCGCAGGACGCACTTGGTACGCTCGGAACCTGAAATTACCATAACGTGCCGGGCTGACCTAGCAACATCGAGTTAGATCAATCGAACCTTGATGTGTATATCTGGTGAAACGGCTGAAGGCCGCTTGATTTGAGCTCTAGTTCACGGACGTTGTTGGCGATGTCTTTGAGGAGCAGCTCGTCGATCCGCATGTGTCACTTCGTATTCATACTCTGTGATCTCGCCATTGGTCTGCAATCACGACCTGTACACTCTGTTACCACGTCGAGAAAAAAGCAGCTTACCTGTAGGCAGGGTGGGGCTTGCCAGCTCGCGCTGGCGTCGGTCTCTCTAACTTCCTCGACTCTTAGGTAGACCGGCGCCGCAGATGGCACTGACTGTTCGGTTTGCACCTCCTGTGAGACGCGCTCACCGGCGATGGTTGTCTTCGCTGCTACGCCAACCCTGAAAAAGGAACGTGAAATAGCGTCATACTATGGCATAGTGGGTGAGATACCCTACCGGTAGCGCGAATGGGGATGGAGCCCAGTGATTACGTGGTTGGGCGAAGTGACGAAGAGCGTTCGTGGAGCATCCTGCTGTTGGTCGCACATCCCCCTGAACCGACGTAATTTTACGGAATCCGACAACTTCTGAATTCCTCGATGGATCGTCTCGAGCACTCACTTGCTATCAGCTGATAAGTGACTTCGTATCCAGTGATGAGACCATTTGGATTGATCGGAGGTCTCCAGCTGACTTGGAACCGATCCGGTCCAACTGGCTGCACACGCAAGTCGACGACTGGGCCAGGGGAAGCGTCCTAGAAAAGCCGCTTGGGATTTGTAGAACATTTTTAGTCGAGGGGCCAACTAACCTGAGTCTGAGCCGTTTCGGTGCGAGACCACTGAGTTTCTCCAGCCGGGTTAGCCGCCTGGACTTCAAAGCTCCATCTGTAAAGATTGTGGTTGAGCAAATGACGAGGTGCTAGGCACAAGGTTAGCTCCAAAACTTACTTTGTGTAAGGATCCGACTCGAACACAACTGAATTCTCGCCCTGGGTAAGATTTTTGAAACCCTGGTTCTTTGGCGTACTGTATTTGACAATGTACCACATGCGATCGCAGTTCCATTCCGACTCGTGCAATGGAGCCCAAGTGAGCCTGATTTGGGTCGGTCCGATAGGTGACACCTAGAAGATGGATTTTAAGTTGGACAGATCACTGTGATCAAATGTAATGTGGGTTTACCTGGAGGTTGGTGGGAGCTCTTCTGGGAGGTGTGCAAGCGGACTGCGTCTGCACCTGGACAATCGGCGATGTGAACGCGACGTTGCGATTCCTGTCCTTGACGACCACGCGGACCTGAACTTAGTCAATGCGAGGGAGCTCACTGAAAGAGGGAAGAGGGGGAGAAAACATTAAACAGAAGAGAGAATTCAAACCTGATAGGTGTGCCCTTTGGGAAGTTCACCAAGATCGATGGTGTACGGTCGCTGCCATCCAGAAAACGGTATCTGAACATTTTGTTTGAAGTTTCAGATAGACCTTAAATTAGTGGTATACGCCGCCATTAGTGCATTCCGAGCAATCTTCCTGTTATTTGGATAACTATGCCCGCAATCGCAGAGGTAGCACCATATTTGCAACTAGCAATAGCATCAGAAACAGCTAACTGTGCCAGACTACAATCGGTCGGGATTCCTCAACGGCTTGTCGAGGATTTGTTGCATTGGATGTGCTTTGCTCTCCGCCTCCGACATTCAACACTAGCCATGAAGAGACGTCTGTGCTCCGCACTCGCGTCACTTCGGAGTACCTCTCGACATGTGACAGAGCCATGCGCTGAGGATTTCCTCGTACCGCTATACTTCACTCCGATTGCGCTGGTGCATTGCACTGGCATGTTTGGAGTCTGCGTGGCGTGTCTGCGTCTCACTTGAACTTGCTGCTCTCTCGTCTCTTGGTTAGTCACTCGCCTTACACGCAAGTCTTAAATAAACTGTCTATCTCGTAGGTCTCGTTTGACTAGTTATAACCATTCAAGATAAGCAGGTCTTGCTTGCAGTATCTATCTGGGAATTATTTTTCTTTACCGCGACATTCGCACTTCTGCCTTTGTTTCGATGCGTTGGTTTGTCGCATACATTGCCAAGGAATAACTTTGGAATGGCTTTCCGATTAGGGCAACCTGTGCTAACTCTGTGAAGGTACACATCATAAATTAGGATACGTGACGATATTTCAATCGTGCAACTAATCGCAAGAAAAAACTAATGAAAAAGTCACACTGATAATGCCACAATTACAGAGATATCATATGCCAGCGTTATGCCTACGACATAACAAACTCGGCCTTCAAATGCCCGTACTCTGCCTGCCTCAGTCGTCACCGTGCGGTTCATGATCAAACTGACCTTGCAACGCCGAGTGTCTTCTTCATGCGAAAAGTGGTTCGTGGAAAAGTAACCCTCCACCCCCCCCTCGCCCTCTTGGAGTGCCCTCATGCCTATTGGCTCACGTTTCTCCTCTTTGCCAACGTTGGAAGGTGGGTGGGCGTCGTCATGCCAGTCTGCGCTTTAGCCTCCCACGACAGAGAAAGTAGAAGGTTGTCAAGTAACCAGCTTATTGTGTGGCTACGTACCCACTATTTCAGAAAATGAGAGAGCGTCGAATGCACATCACACACCACAAGTGACGACGGCCAAGAAACAGAGTGGTTTTTTCTTTTCGTTTTTCTTGGACGTCGTAACTTGTGGAGTGTGGTCCGCACTCGACGCTCTTCTCGTTTTCCAAAATGGAGGGTAAGCATACCGTAAATGCTCTGGCGTAATTAAATCGAGTTGCACGTGTGATAATCAATTGGTGATTAAGCAAGTATGACCACTTACGGGATTTCTGTGTTGTCTCCAGTCCCTTTCTGAGGTTGTTTTCCATTCGAGGACGAAACTCTCAATCTGATCATCGACGTTTTCTCTCGATTGCCATGTGAGGATTGGGATTCCCTGCCTGAAAACGAACATCTGCTTGAACCACTCCTAGCTGCTTGTTCGAGAGCCTCCCTAACACGAAAGAGTCTCAAAACTCACCGATAAGCGATATTTGGCCCGACAATTAGTTCGCCTCCGGGAGGAGTTCGCACTTCTACGGAAGGAGTCCAAGCTGAATGCCCAGCTGAGTTCCGGGCTCGAATTCGTACTGACCTTAAAAAGAACGAATCTAGGTATCAAGGGGCTAGCGAATGAGTTCTGAACTCACCATTGTTGATTAGGATGACTAGGGAAGATATGGTTGGTCTGGGTCCCGGGTACACTCACTGGGGGCATATTTTGGGGTTCAACAACCTGGAACGTTCTTATTTCATTTATCTCAAATCATTTGAAAAATTAGTTGAATACCTGGATTTCGTATTGAATATCGGCACAGCCCCATGTGCTTTGAGGAGGAAGAGCCCAGTGCACTCGCACGTGGGAGGCATCCGGTGCTTGCACTTGAAGGTGTGACGGAGGGTGTGAGGGAGCTGAATGGTGCAGTTTGGTGCAGTTCGACGGGATGAACAACGATTTCGGGTGGGGGGGGTGACATACCTGTGCAACTGCTTCTTGCAGACGCTTCTGGGCTCACATACATCACGTAAGAATTCCTGTCGAGGACCTGCAAACGAGATCTTCATGGGCCTCAATGAGACCATCTGGGAGAACCCTACCTGAATGTGTACGGCGTAGGTATGACCCTTCTGAAGACCAGTGAGCGTTTGGGAGTAGTCCTGGTTGTCGCCCACGTACGGGACAATTTGACTGAAACTGAGGCATTTAGCCCTGAGGACAATAGAAAGAGTATCAACAGAAACGTACCGATAGGATTCATCCAGAGTTTCGCTACGGAACTGCAGACGGTTAGCCGAACACGCCACGTCCGTCGCCTTCGCTTCTCATGACATGAAGTCGTTCCACGAGCTTCCACTCTTGGTGGCGAGACAGCGCCTAGACATATCCGGTCAGTGGAGTGTCGTACGAATGCATCGAATGCACTCCATGCGAATGTAGTATGAACAGCATTCACAGCGGCATGGATGGAATGATACTAGAAGAGTAGTCTAGGGAGATAGGAGGAGCTTAACAGGTACGATAGAGCGAAGGCACGCATAAAGCACAGCGCTGTTCGGCTATTTTGCTACTAGTGTGGCAGGCTACCCTCTTCCGACTTCTAAGTACTGATAGCCTGATGATTGTTTGTGATCCGAACGACACCAAAAATCCGTGCGAGGGTCGCAAACACTGCGACGATACGCTATGCTTACGGACTAAACATTAGAAGCTCACGAGAGATGAGAGTCAGTTCAAATGCAATTCCTGCACCAAAAAATTAGGTGATCAAAAATGAATTTCTAGGTGGCATTGTTAGATATGGCCATTGGAAAATACTCAACTGAAGGCGTCAAGATAGTGAACTGTTCTGGAAGCTTCTGCAGAAGAAAAAGTTTGAACTCTGGCGAAGGAGTAATGTGATTACTGCCGGCTAAGCACTTAGATGGTTTTTTGAGTCACATGGTTCTAGGGTTGCTCTATACGGATATTAAGACAGTGATCACGGTGAACATGGGTGTACTGTGCTCCTGCCTTTGAGGAGTCTCTTAAACGTATCTAAAATTGATGATTCATTTTGCTGGACTGCGCTCTGGGAATGCCAAAATGAGGTGAGACTCCAGTTCGGAGGCGACATCCTGTTATCTTATCCGTGAGCACTAGGACACTCCTTTGGACTTTAAACCCTCTGGATAAGGTTAGCAGGCGAAACGGACTCATTCTTAGGCATAAGATAAGGACCCGCGGTGTATGCCTACATCACGCGAGAAGATCCGGTTCATATTAGCATTTGGTAGCATGTGATCGTCCACCATGGGCGTACCTACACCCTTGCCGCCCTGGCAGCATGTCCACACCCGAGTCACGACCCATTTCTTGCGACCACAACAGGCCCCAAATCTGAAAGAACCTTAGGAAGTACTTTCACACTACTCCGGTCCTTGATCAGAGTGATATTAATGATATCGGTTTACGTCTTATGAAAACTCTCTTCCTTATCCGTTCGATTGTCGGAGAGCACGAAGAAAGTTGCCCCCCCCCCCTCCATCCCCGACTGAAGTCTTCACCGTAAAACGAGAAAGCGCCTCCAGTTCGAATCTCCTTTGTGAAATCTTTCCGGCTTCGCCTCTCTACTTTGTTCAGGTTATGTAGATTGGAGGTTTTGTTTTAACAAAAATTTGCAGTAATAATATGGATATGTTCATTTCTATAGTACACAAAAATACTAATCGAGAGAACTCTCCTAGAGTGACAGTGGAAATTCCTCAGCTATGTTACTTGCGACCAGGCGCTAAATGGGGTTAATTTTGTGATTTCACTAACTACATATCAACTCTATCAAAGGCAGCGATCACAATGGCTAGAGGACGGCGTGGTTTGGATAACATCGTTAAACCTCACTGCTTAAAAGGGCAAAAAACGCCCCCAGAGCGCCAAGGGGCCTAATGCACCAACTACGTCCAATGACGTCATCAAAACCGCACCGCCCTCCAGTTATCATAATCACTGCCTTTAAGTAACACACGAACTAAACGTTTCCTAATGTTTTTTTTTCGTAAAATGTGATAGGCTGCGAATTTTTTATCAACTACTAGGAAGGGCTTGGAAATGCGACATCGCCTTGTCAAGCCTGTTTCCAAAGAACGGGGCGTAAGATTTAGGAGGGTCCTAATCCAATCTCCAACGATAAGAAATGACTCACATTGTTGCGCACTGGTGAAAACTGCTTGCTGTGAAGCTGGTCCTGATCCTGCCGAATTCACGGCCCGTACCTATTAAGGGGGAAGATTAGATTCGGAAATGAGATCCGGATAGAAAAGACCTCGTTTGCTCACTTCAACACGCCAATCGCCTCGGGCGGGGCCTTCAATGTCATAACTGCGTTCACTGCCAGGCACTCGATGACTCACTGGAACGCCATTCTGAAACAACTTCGAGTTAATGGAGGCCTAGGCTATCATGAAGTCCTTGCACGTACCTGCATGCCACTGATGAAGAAGTATGTCTGGCAAGCTGGATCTTCACTAGGGAATGTCCACGAGATCCGTACCCGGTCCTCTGACACTCTGTCCAGGCGCACATTCTCAGGGGAGATCGGACCTGGAACAGCGAGATGAGAACTTGCCTCAAAAACCATCTAGCGCTCAACTTACTTTGACAGGAGACAGAGAAACTGGTGCTCGGTGAAGTGGCTACAGTACCGCCGCTAGCGTCGATCGCTCTCACCCTTAGGTAATAGGTTGCAACTGGTACGGGGCCAAGTGACTGGCGGAAATGCGTCTGCGATGGTTCCGCAGGGACCATGGCGCCATGGTCGCTCCATTCTCGATCGCCGTCCCTTCGGATATCAACCTGGAACATGGACTATAAGTCTCGCTTCAAGGAACGGCGCAGCTTCTGAGTGTACCTGATAACCGAGCAGTCGTGAAGCGTCTCCTGTGGTTGACCAGTAAACCACGTTCCTGGGTCCTTGTTGCTCGATGCGTGGCTGGGTGAGGCCCACTTGTAGGGACGGTTGCTCAACTCCGGCTGAAAATAGAATGGTTATGAGCGTACTGAACGGCATGGGTGTGACAAAGGGGGTTCAGCAACTAGGTCACTTCTAAAAAAACGACACAAATACTATTATTTTGCTAACGGAG